CAAAACATAATTACTATCACCACCTATATTTTGAGCTTTAAGTCTTAGATTGAAACAATCAAGAACAATGTAAATTGGTTTGGCAACACAATTCTTTCCTCTTTTTTTTTTTTTCGATCTTTTGCTTTATTTGTGTCATGCATGCAAATGAAATAAATTCAGAAAGAGCTGATAGTTTCTTCCCTTGGATGCACTTCACTCAATTCTAATTTCTTTCACAGCAGGGGATACTATGGAGTTCCCTGTGTGCTGTAGATAACAAATTCGACTGTTAACCAAAAGGATGGAAGTTTGAGTATAGTTAGAGACACCTTTTTTAGAAAGGCTGGTAGTGTATCAGACAGCAAGTCCCTACTCCATTGGAGGCACAGTTCTACTGTGACACACATGGAGTGGCTGTGAGACAAATCAGCTCGACAACCTCTGGTTCTGGTAAATACCACTCCATCCAGCTTTAAAACTTACTGTTTCTCTAAAGCAACTTGGTTTATAGTGACATCTCAAAGGATGTGGCTTCATTATCAGTATCTCTTCAAACAGTATGCTAAAAGTAAGTACAATAATTTAAATTCAATAAATACCTATGGAACACTGACTATGTTTCTGGCATTATGCTAAGTATGAGGATAAAAACTGGCTTGTCATTGTGAACAGAACTTCTAGTTCTTATTAGAACAAATGCTCAGCAGCAGAACAAGTGTGCCAAAGCTTCACAGCTCAAGCTGAACCCCTTATTTTACAGCAATATCCTCTGCTACACAGATTCTTTGAAGATGTTTTTCACATACTTTCTTTCAACCGTCTGAAAGCACTCAAAGTTATACGATTCCAATGACTTTTTTTACCTTCCTCAAATTCCTGTAGTGTTTTATATTTTGATTCTATTGTTGTTGTAGTTATGTTCCACTGAATCAGAACTAATTCATAGCTGACCCTTTAGTGAGTTTTCAGAGGCAATAAATCACAGGGGAGTTGAATGCCCATCATTCTCTTATGGAACAGCTGGTAGATTTGAACATGAGGCTTTGAGTTGGCAGTGTAATTCCTTACCACTAGGCCACCACTGGGAACTTTAAAAGATAAAGGGAATTATGGAAAACTTCCTGCCATTTTTTATTTACTGTTACTATCCGTGTAATTGCAAAAAGCTCTAGATAAACCTCTGAGGAGATCCTGGTAAGGTTTTATTGATCTTTCATTATCAACTTGTCTCTACATGAAGCCATTATGAAGTTGTTGTTATTGTTATATGAGAAGCTTATTTAGTAATTGGTTGCTTAAGGATATTAATTAGCTTCTTTCATGAACAGAGAGACTATAGAGTGATAGGACATCAGAAAGAAGGAAAGATTTAGAATTCTCAATTTTGTCATATTAGTCCTTTTCTAAATGTTTCAAGGAGAATTTTTAAAAATTTCTACCAAGTTTATTTTTATCTTCACAGATACACTTGGGCATTCTCAAAACATTTGGAAATGTTATGTTTTGTTTTACAATATTTATAAATAATGTTAATTTTTGATACAATAGTTATTGTACCTATTAGGACAGTAAGTCTCCCCCTTTAATGAAGAAACCAAAAAAAAAAAAAAGCTATACTTTATAGGATAACTTGCATATAAATGGAATTCTAGTGGACTAGTGGATAAGAAGTTGTACTACCAATCCAAAGGCAGGTGGTTCAAATCCACCAACTTCAAAGAAGGAGAAAGATGGGTAATCTCCTGCCCTGCAATTTATATCCTCTGAAAACCCACTAAGGGCAGGGGGGGGGGTCAGCTATGAGTCAATTCTGACTTAACAGCTCTTACTTACTTTTGCTTTGCTCTGCTTACATATAAATACTAAAATAATGGTTTGGGCCCAAGTAGTTCAATTTTTCTTGGCTTTGAATTAATGAATCACATAGGTTACAATTTCTCAATTATAAATTATATAAGCTATAAAATCCAGTTGAAATATATCCCAATGTCATTAATTCAGAGAAATTTCAACTATTATCTTTCATTAGGCCAATAAATGTCTTTTAGTAAATACAGTATGTCCTCATTATGCATAGATCGTGTATTTACAAATTTATCTATTAACTATAGAATTTATTTATAACCCCCTAAAGAAAATTCCATAGCATTTTCATAACTCATCTGTTGACAAACAGAATAGCAAATAATTTGATTCACCTGACACATGTATTTCCAGCTAAGGAAAGATGACATTACCTTCTTTCAGCTTTCATACTATAAATAAGTGTCCTTTTTATAATTTACTTTGTGTGTTTTCACATTTTTGTGCTAATCATTGGTAATTATTCTGTTTAAAATGAAACTTAAGTGTAGTAAGAAAGTATTATCTAGTGTCTCTGACCACAAGAAGGTCATTATGTGCTTTATGTGTGTAAAAATAGCAAAGGCACATGGAGACAATCATGTCTAACACTTACCAACTTCACAAAGGAGAGCTGTCCCCATCAGCAGTATAAAAATAAAACAAAACCAATTCTCAAGAGGTCAGACATGTCCCTTACACTCCCATGCTTCTTCCTACTCATCTCAACACAAATCTTTCTGCTTTGCTGGTTCTGAAATCTGTTGCAATAACTCACAAGTTGCACAGAACCACATTGGGGAAGTCAAAACTTTATAATCCAGGTTAGTAGCAGAATATCATCAAGATAGCTCCTAAATGTGCACACAGCACCTCAGCCTTGAGCCTCGTAGATTTTGGACAGTCTTCTCAAGTTCTCAGTCCTGCCAATATTGGCTTCCCATACACAGTTGTCCAACAAAATTTTCAGTCCTGCCAATATTGGCTGTTTCTCCCCCAGTTCCAGAGTCCTTTTTCATGTTGCGTGTCCAGTTCAGCCGTAGATGTGGTTGCCCTAGGTAAGAGGAAGCAAGAACAATGTCTTACGATCTCTTACTTCTTGTTCAATAATGCCAGGAGCTCTGTCTTTCAATTTATTGGTAGGACTAGCCAATCCCCTCGTAGGTTGTTGAGATGGACCAATCCATTTGTGAAATGGTAGATAGCCAGTCGCCTTGTAGGTAGGCTAAAAGGTCCCATTTGCATATTCCCACTCATCTACTCAGCAAGGTCAAACAATGGCTAGGAACAGTCATACTGAAAGATAAACTCCACAATGAGGAAAATGTGTGCATTAAAGTAAGCAGCTACATTCAGACATGAACAATAGTATTGCTGACCTTGCATTAAATGATCAACAATATTTATTAAATAAAGAGTCTTTAAACTGAGTCCAAGTCTTTGCTGTTGAGTTGGAAACAACTCCTACCTGACCCTCTAGCTGGTTTTCAGAGGCTGTAAAAATTGCCCTTATTTCTCCCATTGAGCAGCTAGTAGTTTTGGACCACCAAAGTAGCATGGCTTTTTGGCTAGCAGTGTAGTTCTCTACAGACAAGCACACATGAAACAAGGCTGTACATCTTTCACTCAATAACAACTCACTGCCATGGAGTCATTGCAATTTATAGTGGTCCTTCATTGGATTACTGGAGCTATAAATCTTAATTGGAGGAGACTGACTGCCCATAATTTTTCCATAGAGCCACTCATAGATTAGAACCACCTGAGATATGTCACTTTTATGTTACAGCACAATACCCTACACACTACACTACCAGAGCTTTTATGTATATTGGTCAATTGGCAAAAATGTGACTAGAGGCTTATAACAATTAACCCTTTATTATCCTTAGAAGCAATGGCTCAGTATTTATTGTATTCACTAATTCAGAATGTACAGAGATAGCTACTACAAATAATTAGACTCATGTGTGTACGTTCTCCCCCCACCCCAGCAAACTTAGGAAGTACATCGTTAAGTGCTTGACTGCTAACCAAAATATTGGTAGTTTGAGTCCATCCAGTAATGCCTTGGAAAAAAGGCCTGGTGATCTATTTCTGAAATTGTCAATAAAAGCCCTTTGGGGCACAGTTCTATTCTGACACTTCAAAATGTTTATGGTTAACTTCTTTATACTTTGTGGAATTTTTTTTTAAGCAAGCATAATTTTAAGCCAAGGACTGCTTGTGTACTCCATAGCCTACATAATACTTCATAGAGTATTAAGCTAAGTCCTAAGTCTATTCCATCAGGAAGACAGGAAATGACTACCTATCTAGCAGTGCTAAACTAAAGGTGGCCAGTTCAAATCTACCAGCAACTCCATGGGAAGAAGAGGGACATTTCCTCCTGTGCATTTTACAGCCTTGTCAGCCATTTCAACTTGATGGAAATAAATGAATGAGTGAATGATAACCTCAGATAAATTCATTTCCAAATAAGAAACCAAATTGCTAAATATTTGTAGTTAGCAAAAAATAGTTGTAGTTAGCAAAATGTATTTCATAAAGTTCATCTGCACTCATCTATGGCATGCATACTCCTTTTTTTGGAGGGGGCAGGGGGTTTCATTAAATTTTTTTGGTTCATTTATTTATGATACTTAGAAACAGAAAAATAGGCCCCCAAATTCACCAGCGATTTTGGCTGTGAGAAGCTGACGTGTCACTCAATTACTGAAAAACTACAAATCTCTATCCATGACTTCCTGGCCATGAGTTGCAGCTTTATTATATAATTACGATTAGAAGTGACATTTTCAGATGCTTTTTATACACATGTAGGAGACTCAAGAAAGTGTACATAATAGAAGAAAATGAACAGAAGGATATGATTTAACTGTTACATAGATGCAAGAATGAATGAGGTTATTTCTAGAAATGCCATGCGTCCAGTATATGCATGAGTGCACTGTACCAGAAATGTTGTGCTTAATTACTAATTTCTTCCTATTATATATGGTGATGCATTATTTATGTGGATAGGTTATTTGCCAAAAGTATGATGACTTTGAAATGTTTGTATATTGTATGTAACTTTAATATTTTTTGAAAGTGTATTGCATGACTTATCTAAATATTAAATTGCAAATAATGTTTCAAAAAACAAAAAGAAGCTGACGTGTTTTGTTTTGCAGAGAATGGTGACTGTGACTGTGGCGAGTGTGTGTGCAAGAGTGGCTGGACAGGCGAGTACTGTAACTGCACAACCAGCACGGACTCATGCTTCTCTGAAGACGGGGTGCTCTGCAGTGGACGAGGAGACTGCATCTGTGGCAAATGTGTGTGCACAAACCCTGGAGCCTCAGGGCCAGCCTGTGAACGGTGTCCTACCTGTGGAGACCCTTGTAACTCTAAACGGTAATGTGTCTCCTGTCTTCAGTCTCTTTTGTTGGTGTCTCGCTTCACGGTTACAAAAGCCATTTTATGTGCTGTGCCCTCAGAGTGTTTTTGCTGGGGCAGATCCTTTGCACATCCTGAAAACACAAACCCAAATGGCTTCTGTGATCCTCAGCCTGGAACCTCAGCCTCTAATTTGCCTCTTTCTCTGTCCTAATTCTCTATGGGCCACAATGTCATGTTTCTGCTGGACAGATGTCCCACACTGATAAACTCCAGATCGCCTCTGGATTACAATACCAGCCACACATAAGAAATGCCCTGGTGGTAGACTGATGACACCACACACAGTCAGAACTCTACTGGGACACAGACAAGTCTCTTTCTTATCTAGAAGTCTTTAGCGTGACATTACTGAGCCTTTCTTATCTCCAGCCTCATGAAAGCAAAGAGAGAGAAGGGTGATCTTGGCTCTCATTTTGGACCTCCCTCTTTTCAACTACTTGTATTTTTCAGCTCTTTTCTTTGGTTCTTATTATGCACAGCTGTTGTGTATTGTATGTTCTTTTGTACCAAACGAGTAACAAAAACAACACATTTTCCTATTTTTCTGATAAGATAACTGTGCCTCTGGTTGGCAACTAGCTTCTTAATGCAATTGGGGCATATTTTGTAGGTCAAGTTGGGCAAAATTGGCTTCCAAATTTGTTTTGTTATGTTGTGTCACTTATTAAGCAGCAAATGGGCTTAAACAGTTCACATTTTCATTAATTCAGCAACCCAGAATGGTAACATTTGCATTTCTGATATAAACAGAATGAGGAAATCAATATTCCTTCAGTGATTACATAGCATTGAGGTGTCAAGGCTTTGTCACTTTAACCTAGAAAACTGACACATATACCAAGAGAAATGCGGAGACATGGTAAGAATGATTTGAACAGAATTTGTTAGCAAATAGCCTCCTTTTTTTTTAAAGAAAATAGCCTCTTAATATTTAGTTATTTTATTATTTTTGAAAAAAAATTAATCTTCCATGTATACTTGATCCCATCTTAAATTTGATGCATAAAATAAAATTTAACAATCAAGGGAGTGTGAATTCGGAGAATCAAATAGAATTATTTTCTTGCTCTTTAATTTAATTTTAAGATAAGTTTGTTCATACATGTTATTTTCACATGCATTAATTTATTCAGTTGGGAGCACTGGTGGCCTAATTGCAATAAGCTGTGCTGCAATCCTGAAGGCAAACAGTTTGAATCCACTAGCTGCTCAGTGGGTGAAGAATGGGCAGTCTCTGGTGCAATTACCTGCCTCTGAAAACCTACCAGTGGGTTAGCTATAGACAGGTCAGTTTTGTCTCTACAGTACACACAACACAACAATAAATGAGTAAGTACTATATGCCAGGAATTGTATTAAGCCAAGGACTTCCAGTGGATGGCTGAAATAGATTTAAGTGTTGAAGAGTGCAGTGTGCAAGAGAGACATTTAAAAAAGTAACTGCATAATATCTGGACTGCAACTAGGGAAATCTTTAGAGACAAGAATGGTGAAACTTTTGCTCACATAGTTTGAGCATGCAATCATGAGAAGACAGTCCTGGGAAAGTAAAAGTGTCAGAGAAAGACAGACCCTATACAAGATGGAGTGACAATGTGGTTATTACAATGAACTTGAAGATGGAAGAAATTGTGAGAAAGGCTTAGAATAGGACACAGTTCCAATCTGTGGTTTATAAAGTTGCTAAGAATCGATGTTGACTCCACAATAGCTAACGACAAAACAACAGATGAACTGGATTACTAAAAAAACAAAGGTGATCCAACAGAAAATCTTGCTGAATATTATTAAAAAACAATTGGAACAGCACATTGACAGAGAACTGCCAGAAATTCAAGCTGAGTTCAGAGGAGGCCATAGTAAGAGAGATTGCTGATGTTAGATGGATCTTGGCTGAAAGTAGAAAATATCAGTAAGAAGTTTATATGTGTTTTAATGACTGTGAAAAAGTATTTGATTATGTGAATCACAACAAATTATGGAGAAGAGTGAAAATAATGATAATTGTGCCCATGTAAAACCCATCCGTAGAGCAAGAAGCAATGTCTGCACAGAATGGAAGCACTGCATCATGAAAGATGTGTGTTCAGGTTGCATCCTTTCTCAATTTAATCTGGATGCTGAGCAAGTCATTCAAGAAGCTGGATGATATGAAGAAGAATGTAGCAACGAGTTTGGAGGAAGATCCATCAACGTCCTGCATTATACAGGTGCCACAAACTTGTTTGCAGAAGTAAAAACTTGAAGCGTTGTTGTCAAAGATCAAAGACTAGCCTTCTATATGGACTACATCTCAACAGGAAACAAAATTCTTATCACTAGACCAAGAGGCAGCATCATGATAGAAAAAAAGATACAGAAAAGACTGAAGTTGTCAACTACTTCATTTCACTTGGATCCATATTCATCACCCATGATAACTACAGTCAAGAAATCAAAAGATACGTTGCATTGGGAAAATTTGGTGTCAAAGACCTCTCCAATGTACCAGGAGTGTAACAATGTCAATTTAAGGACTAAGGTTTGCCTGACCCAAGATACGAAATTTTCATTTGCTTCCTGAGCATCTGAAAATTGGGCAATGACTAAGGATGACAGAAGAGGAACCAATGCCCTTGAATTGTAGTCTTGAGGGAAAGTACTGAATATCCCATGGAATGCCAAGAATAAACACATTTGTCTTGGAGGAATTGCAGCCAACGTGCTCCTTAGAGGCAAGGCTATTGAAACTTCATTTCACATACTTTGGGCATGTCTTCAGGAAGGGCCAGTCCTATAAAAAAAGACATCATATTAGAAGAATTGGAGGGAGAGAGAGGCCCTCAACAAATCAGGTTGACACAGTGACTATGACAATGGGCTCAAGCTTATCAGAGATTGAAGAGGATGGTACAGGATAGGACAAAGTTCTTATCTGTTACTCATAAGATCTCTATGAGTTGTAGTCGATTCAGTAGGATGTATCAAAAACAAAATATTGCAGAGAATAGAAATACTATCAGCTGATACAGCCATTAATAGTATTACATAAAGAAGTAAAGAGCTTCTACTCTTCATTTCCTCTATGAACAAATATATCATTTAGATAAATGCATCAAATGAATATATATAATTTAGGTAAGTGCTTATGCTTGTCCTTTATTCTACCTCCCAAAATTGATTGTTGCTCATGAGAACCAGGCTTTCCTAAGGAAATGCTGTTTCATCTGAGACGTGATAAGAAGTGGTAATGCTAGAATCACTTGAAATGTATGTACTTCACAGCCCCAGTGAGAAAGAGGCATGATGTGTCCACTTTAAATAATGTTTTGCTTTTTAGGGTTCTTTGTAAAGTGGTTTCAATAATAGATTAATATGGACAAAGTTTATTTTTTGTTATTACTTTATTTTTACTAGGAATGTTTATCAGAAAGCCTGTCCTAATGGAGATGCTAAGGCTGTGATTCCCTGTTATTCGCAATGCTATTGAAAAGATTATCCAAAAAAGTGAATTTTTAAAATAATATTTATAACATGGAAGAACGTGAGCACTCATTCTTGGAAATGTAGAACCATGCCTGTAATGAAATTCTAGCCTCTAATTTAAATCTGTGTTCAACTTCAGCATAGATTTGATATTTAATATTTCACCAGTATAAAGTCTATCTAGGAAAAAGAGAAAATGAAAACAGCTAAATTAAATACCAGAAACAGTGAGTATTCCACTTATCCAATCAAAGGCAGTTATTACAGATAAATGAGGAAGTAATTTTTATGCAGGCTGATTCATATGCAGGGATTACTAAGTGGAACTCAAAATAAAGCTGTTTCAACTATGTCATCATGCCACCATCTTTCTAAGAGTAACCAAACGCAGTGACATCTGTGAGACATTTCTATAGCATGGTCTACAATGACAGCATTTAGACAGTATCTCAGCCTGCACATCCAGGTTCCACCAACATGAACTGATAAACTCTGTTGGGTAATGTTCACAGGAGCTGTATTGAATGCCACTTGTCTGCAGATGGCCAGCCCCAAGAAGAATGTGTTGACAAATGCAAGCTAGCTGGTGCAACCATCAGTGAAGAAGGTTTCTGTCTTAAGTTACTTTCTTTTATTTTACATAGTTCTTGAGAGGCTAAAGCTCTGGGAATCAAGGATTTTTTAATAACTTGACCAAATGTGTAACAGGACTTTGACTCACTCATGATCGCTTTTCTTGACCAAATGTGTAACAGGACTTTGACTTACTCATGTTAGCCCTTAAGAGTGAGCTTCATGAGGCCGATGTTTGATGCTTTGGAGTATAACCTAGTATCATGACTAGTCTATAGGAACTCAGCTCTGTTGCTTAAATCAATTCCTGCTTAACAAATGCAGTGCTAGAGAATTCCAGAATTCTCTCCATTTTGAGTTGGGAAGAATGAAAGAAATAGCCTGAACTCTTCCTCAGTCGTTCAGTTGCCTTATTTCAATATATGGGGGGAAGTTAATTTTCATGATAGCAAATCCTAGCTCCTGGGCAGTTTCTAGACAGCTGGGTAGTGAGCATTTTCTCTTTCGTCCCTTCCTTCAGTTGTTACTCCCAGTCTTCCAAACATGACTATTATGCAGTCATCCTAAATTGCCTGTTGTCCCATCTCTCGAATACAAGAAGGGCAAGCTACCTTTAATTGCTCCGTAAATCCTGCTTCTGTTTTTATCTATTATGTAAAACTTAATTACTTACAATCCAATTCTTTCTGATGCTAAAATGTCATCTCAAATATTAAAATAGATTGTGTGTTAACTGGGAAGGCCCTTTAGAAAAAGAATTGGAGAACTTCAAAACAACGATGACCACTGGCTCTTCCTGAAGGGGCCGTCTGGGGTGGGCTTTTCTCCGGTCACAGCCTCTCTGCATTATCATGCTGCTCAGGTGCAGTCGCCGTTCTGCAGGCATTAGGCATGCAACGACGGATGTCTCTCAGGCAACCCGGAATAATCAAGACAATAATTTATGACGCTCCAGGATCTGTGTCTTGGACAGATGGAATTAGAATACAGAAATTAATCTGTTTCCAAAACGGAGTATGTTAGTGACATTTATGTTGCCTTGAAAATTATTTACTTTGTTGCAAAACTGAGATTTCTGACTGTGCACAGTTGAATAGTCCTGTTGGAGGAGCATGGTTACTGGGCATGAATGCTTTCATCCATGCTTTTCTGGTATCTGTGGTAAATATGCCAAATGGTAGTAAATTGAACAAACTGGTATGTACCTTCCACTAATAGTGATGGTAAGGAGTACTACAATTCCTGGTAATGTGGCATCTGTGATCTGTCCACGTTAGTATCTATGTTCATGGAGAGCAAATAATTGGGACATTTCATCAGGAATTTCCGAGAAATGAGTGAAAATTATAGAAAATGCCCTGCAAATCACTAGAAATCAATTATCTAGAAACCTGAAGAGGAAGAGGACTAAATCCCTTTCTGGAGACATGTAAATCATGATGATTTACATGAAGAAAACACATACCATATTTAAGCACATAGTTTTCTGAGCGCATAACCACATAAGCTTAATTTGAAAAGAAAGACTGTAGCATCTAAATCTTTGCTTTATTCTCTTTATGCAATTGACTGAATTATTTTAAAAATCGTTTGAAAATATTATGTAAAACTTAACTACTTAAAATCCAATTTTTTCTGATGCTAAAATGTCATCTCAAATATTAAAATAGATTGTTGGGTTAGCTGGGAAGGCCTTTTAGAAAAAGAATTGGTGGACTTCAAAACAAAGATAAAAAAAATAGAAAAAAATAATCATTAGATTGCTCAACTCATTGCCATCAAGTCAGAACCAATTCATAACTGACCTTCCCCTGGGCTTTCAGAGGAGGCCACTCGTATTTCTTCCTTGGAACCACTGGTGGATTTGAACTGCATTTGAGTTCGCGGAAAAATTTTCTATGGAGAACTCAATCCAGAACTCAATCATTAGATTACGTTGTTGTTGTGTGCCATTGAGTTGGATCTGACTCACAGCTGACACTTCAGTGAGTTTTCAGAGGGAGTAAATCACATAGTATTTGATCGCTCACCTTTATCCTGCAGAGCAGCTGGTTTATTGGAACCTTGCACTAATACCATTTGAATTATCTGGATAATCTGGATAAATTTGAGAGAAAAACACTTTTTTCAGCCCTTGAGTGAAAAGATCTTTTTCTAATTAGCCTTTTTGTAAGTCCTATTCTTTTCATTTGGGGAGTTCTGGTGTCCTAGTAGTAAAGAGTTGTGCCGCCAACCCAAAGGCAGGCAGTTCGAACCACCAGCTGCTTCATGAGAGAAAGCCGGGCAGTCCCCTTTTGTGTGACATACAGCCTCTGAAAACCCACGGCAAGGTCAGCTCTGAGTTGGATCTGACTCAACGGCACATAACGTTTTTCAATTACTTGTCCAGTGAATCATACTACCTTAAAATGGTCACAATACATTTCTTCTTCCACAAAGGCCTTTTATAAAGCTGCTCACCCTTCTACCAACAAAGCCACAAAAAACAGTTAAACAATCACAATTTGATAATCCATGTAATTTTTTCCTCAGTTAACCTGGGGTGTTCTGTGTGGTCCATCTAATGACAGGAGGTTTTATCTTATTTATCCTCTCTTATGGAAAGAGCCAAAATTTCATTTACTCTCCACATTCATGGTCTCCAAGCTGTTAGAGCATCCTGTAAGAGAACATTGTGTCTGAAAGTGCTAGTGAGAAAAACAAAACAAACCCCAAAAAATCAAAACTCCAAAATGTACTATGATCATAGGAATTTTGTAAATGGGGAAGTGAAGGCTTTTCCCCTCCAGAACTTCTGAGAGTTATCATGTGCATTAAAAGTACGTCTATGGGGGAGAGAATAGTCTAAAAGTATTATATTTTAGGGCATTATTTTTATCGTAGGAGTATGCAATGAGGGTTGCACAGTGGATTATATTTGGGGGTAGGGGGTGGGGTTTGGGGAGGTGCAGGGGGGATTGTGTACCAATGAGGGAGTTTTTCTTTTGCTTTTCAAGGAGAGGAGC